ATATATGACAGTTTTGTAAACAACGGTGTTGATTGTTGTTTTTGTAGCTCGGGTAGTATAATTTGATGTTCAATTGTTCGCCGAGCTTGGCAATTGTATTGCAAACGTTTCATCACCAATCCAGGTGACATTCTCAATGCAGTTATTGTGTGATCGCTTACGAGTGTTCTCTTCCTTATATAGGTCGTTGAGTGATGTGGCGTTGTCTGATTTGCCAAGGTTTGTTCACCTTGTGCCGATAAGGGATGAGGTGGACACGAGCAGTCTGGTGGCTGTCCGTTGATCGAACAGTCTAAGCATTACTGTTGTCCTGTCGTGTCACGTGTGACAACTCGTGTGCACGAACACAAACTGGTCGTCAGAAGACACTCATCTCAATCCACGAGGACCGAGAAGGACGCAACTTCGATTTCGAAAATATCAAAGTCGTCGATCAGGCGCGCGCCAAGCACACAAGAGAACTTCTGGAAGCTTGGAATTCATCGGAAAACTCGGTCAACCGACAGATTGACAGCGATCAAGTCTACATGCCCATGCAACAAAAGGACCAATCAACACATGTCACACGTCACACGCGTTTGACCTTGACAACAGCAAGATTGCCTGGTACCAAGGTGTTTGCTTGTGAAGTTGGAATAATTACTTTAGATCTTACTGATCGCTGTTGACCGATGATAATAACCTAAATTACTTGATCACACTCATTGTTTTGCTCACTTTTGAAGCTGTCCCTCTGGGTTCCCTAAAAATACTTTTTAAAATTATGTTATAAAACCTGGTGGTTTCCCGGAGAATCGAATATGTGTAACACAATTATCGTAGTAACTAGCTAAGATCGAAGAAGGAAACAAACAACTGACGGAGAATCGGGAACAAGAACGACACTGTCACCCGTCAAGGATATTTCAGAAATGACAGCAAGACTGCTCATGTGGAATCCAAGTCTCCCACAAACCGACCGTCTGTATAAGGGGACTTCTGTCACAAACAAAGGCTAGAACAATGGAGGAGGACGAGAACAGTGCTATCTACAAAATAAACTGCAAGAATTGCCCAAAATACTATATCGGACAAACTGGAAGAAAACTATCAACAAGAATACGTGAACATCAATGGGCAATCAGGAAGCTGCACCCACTATCGTTGATCTCCCTCCACGAAGATCAAAAGAGACATCAGCTTGACTTCAAATTAGTGGAAATAATCGATCAAGCCAGGTAAAACACGCCGGAGGATTTCTCGAGGCTTGGCTTTGTTCAATCAACTTAATAAACAGACACATAGAACTGGATCACGTGTACACGCCAATGCAACTCAAGGTTCAAATGACGCAACAAAAAAGGTCACGTCGTGACCTGAGAATCCACCAAAATTGTAATCAAGACGGAAGAAGAAACCCCTCGCACCAGTTCAACGGTGAACCGAGTCGAAAACAATGAGATCAAGGAACAAAATAGTCGGTGGCGAATATCATATATATAAACGAACGGGTAAAAGCAGAACACTGCCACTTCACAAGCACTGACAATATCACTTCGGTTGGTGTTGAAACGTTTGAAAACACATTGCCAAGCTCGGCGAAGAGGCGAAATGTGATTCACTGTTTGACGAACCTAGCTTAAGTCGTGATATGGAAGCGCGAAGAAATGGATTGGTCACAACTAACGTCATGATTGCTCTAGTAGGGGAAAGAATTGTTCGTTTAAATAACTCTGCATCAGGTGCTACGGTGACTGTTATTTGAATCTTTTCCTTGCCAACGTTTTATGGATAATATTGGTCAAAATTGTGGAAAGATGCTCTTGTTGATGCGGTTTTCTAGTCCTGAATCTGTATTACACCACCAATCTGAAACAGGCATGGGCTTATCGACTCGACGAAAATGACCACGTACGATGGTGTACAGCTGTTGTTCCTTTCCGTGGGTATATCGGTGTTGAAGGCTGCCGGACTAGTACAAAATCAGCTCTAACGGTCTCACTCTGAGACACATTAGTTTGACGTTTATACCAGTGGGTGCCACCTGTGGCATGTAATCTATTGATTCTGTGTTCATTTGACCGGATTTCATGTCCTTTAGATGAAGTTCCTACGTCCAGAACACCCAATACAATCGGGAATCCAACCAAATTGGTTACTGTATACCCATTTATTATACTGGTTTTGTACTCTTGATAAGCGTTGAATTGGCTTCAAGATTTACTACTCCCCTCTTCATTAAGGAACCGCTCATCAATTAAAACGCAAACGGTGATTGACTTTTCTGCATCACATGTCAGTTCTAACAACCTTACAACGAGGAGACAACACGTAGATGCTACGAATGCCGCCATTATTGGACTTCTTAAAAGGGTCGCAAAACCACTAGACCCGCTTGCGAAAACAACCCGTCCTGACTACAGGAATTCGATCCTAAATAGTCTGAATTTCACCACATAAGTAACGCATCTATTAATTTGATGTTGACCAATGCAAATAGTTGTCCTTTTTGTCTAATCTCGTTTTTTTCTCTAGGTTTCACGTGATTTGATTTTAATCTCCGTTACACTTAACAGTTAAGCGATACCCGATAGCGATATCTCTTCCTTGATCCGATGACTCTTCTTTAAGTTATTGTATGAATTCGGCCCCTTTACAGGTGCGTGCACTGATCTCGGACTTCTCGGTTGTCATCGCCATCGCAACCTCGACATTGACAGATTTTTTGCTGGGTTTGCACACTCCCAAACTGCTTGTTCCCACCGATTTTGAGCCGACACTTGGCTATAAGGTTGGTTTGGACTTATCAATCTTCTTCATGCCATTTGCAACAGTTTTGTTATATGTGCTAGTTTCCTAACCGTATCACCACAGTTCGTAAAACCTAGCCAAGAAAAATTTCAGTTTGTCATCATCTGTTTGTCAGAAGACTGGGAAATTAATTTCGACTCACAGCACTTCCAGAGAAGGAGGTCAGAATCACCTTATGTGGTCAAACCTAATGTCATTAAGATCGTCAATCTTCGAGAAGCCTTGTCGTCGTGAGGTCTTACCTCCCCTCAAGGGAATGGTTTGCAGCGTTTGTTTTGTCTCTCCTTTTTGAGGATGCTCATAATCTTTCTGCATTTTACTTTTAACATTTTCGAAACATTGCTCGTGTCCAGTTTGCAAAACCGAGTGAACCATAACAGATTTTCGGCGTGTGTTGGCTGCTGCTGATCGTTTTCTAAGAGATCAGTTAACCTTTTTGATCCCTCCTGGTCCAAACGGGCTTAGTGGATGTCCGCTGGTGCTAGAAAGTACACGAGAAAGGGAACTAATGATTAGATCAAGGCAAGATACTTAAATCCTCTGCCCTATGAAAAACAAACAGCTAAATTGCATCGAAAGTCGCCCTGAAAACAAGTGGTATAAATGTTAAGCATTGTGAAACATTACTCCCAATTTCCCATCTCATGCACTCAGATGGCTGTTTTGCATTTTTTATGTCCGTGCTTGTTTTCTTAGTCGATGTAAATCCTCATGAAATATGCCTATTACGCTCAGTTTTACTCAGTGACTTTTTGCCAGAGAATAAGCCGTCCATATACATACCTTGTCCGTGAGAGAATATATTGGGAATCTACGAAATTGACATCTGGCATTCTGTTCTCACTCGAAGATGAATGGGTAATTTTCGGGCCGTGATCTGTGTACTTATTCGTTGAAGCGACTGCCGCATTTTCTTGGTGTGGTGTCTGAAACTATTTATTAATTTGGCTCCTCCTACCAGGACGTAATTTTGTACCCTGAATGACGGACTTGTCCAAAGAATGAACAGATAATGGACGCTCGTTTCATATAGTTATCGTTCCTGCTTTCCCACACATAGCTTCTTGATTTTTTTAATATTGGGGTATTGAGGCCTTTTTGATCTTTTGACTAACACTGGCTCGTTATGTTGATTTGCAAAAGACATCTTTCCGTGAAACAATTAGTGCGTTATGTGGTTTCACTGATTTCAGCATTTGTATTCACATAGATCCTTTCTACGTTTTTCTTGGTCTGACATGTATTTCTATAATTGCATTGGGAGGTTTTAAGTATCTGCTTAAGTAAGTTACCTAGAACTTCGAACTTTTTTCACCGATCTGCTGGAAAGTTGATATCTTTTAGTCATTTTCAGGAATGAGATTTACGTTCATTCCTGTGCTAGATTACACCATTACCTTTCATCTGTTCCCACACATCACCACATTACCTCTCTGCCGTTCTTCCCAATCTATCTAGCGCCGTGGCTGGTACATACCTCCGTTCAACGGTAATCCGTGGTGGACGTCCCTTGTCGCATTGGGTCCCGCACTGTTAGCAGTTATTCTGATCTTCATGGATCAACAGATCACCGCGGTTATTGTAAATCGTCGAGAAAACAAATTAAAGGTACATCGAGTTCTGGAGAACAAGCTCCTTGCTAATTAACCTGATAGATGATCCTATAGATTTCCCTCGTGTGTCGTCATTCTCCGTAAAAGCCACGAATATGTAGTTTTAAATTTTGTCGTTTCTACCTGCTTAT